CACACACCAGCCGCAGCTCACGCACGCAGCTCCTGCCCCGCCCACACGCCAGCCGGCCGCAGCTCCTGCCCCGCCCACACGCCAGCCGCAGTTCCCGCCCACACGCCCGCAGCTCACGCACACACAATGGAAGCGACATCCGCCGGGACCGGCAACAGCACGCCGCCTTCCGGGACCTCGTCCACTCCTCCCCAACCAGGTAAGACATCCCCCGAAAATAAGACCTAGTGTCTTATTTCGTGCAAAAAAAAAAATAAGACACTGTCTTATTTTTGGGGAAACACGGTACCTTGAACCCATACAAAGTAAATCCCAATGTATTTTCCCTGCCAGAGAGTCACAAGTGTTGCATACAGTCTCCCACAAAAGTCAATTACTATACTGGTATACACTGGACTTGTGTAAAGCATGTGTATGCGTACAGGTGCTCAGTCTCGAAGGCAGAGTTATGTGTCAGTACGCATGGGCGTGCTTTGCACAAGTCCGGCATATACCATTGTACAGCCATGCACAGCCTGCGGCTCCCTGATTGAGAAATATGCAGGAATTTACATTGTATGGGTTCAGTCACCTGTTGAGCATTGGCTGTTTTAGGTTGAGCAGATATGTGGTTTTGGGCAATGCACATACACAGAGAAAAGGGGAAAATACTATACATAAAGCCCATTCTGATATGGCTCTATTTCGAATCCAGCCAAGCTAGCAGTTCGACTCTTACACAATACTGATGATTTTATGTACATGTAAAGACTCCATTTAACAAAGCTTGCTTTGATTCTCTTTTTCAGACGATACAAGCAACAGTTTATCGAAGGACATTGGAAGTGCGGTTGCAGGAGTTTCCGAGCTGGGCTTCGACACAGATAATACATTTCAGTTGGATGATGAGCTGAGACTTGGACCTCTAAGCTTGGATGGTCTGAACATGTTAAGTGACCCTGACATGGTCCTGCCAGATCCCTCGATAGAGGACAGTTTCCGTTCAGACAGGCTGTGATCCAGACTGCCCATCGGGGTGCAGGCTGCTTTATTCATTTCGTAGACAAGCAGAAGGAACTTGTTGGGGAAGCAACTGAGAACAAATTGTTTTGTTCAAGGCTCATTTTCTCTCCTTTGGATCAGAGCTGTTGTAATCACTTAATGGATCTTTTGACATTTGAATGTCGGATTAAGTAGATGTACTAACTTTTTTTTTTTTAAGAAGGTTTGAACAGAAATCTGAAGAGACACTGCTTTAAACCAAGCCAGTAATTGATACTTTGTAGATAAGTACACTCAATTCTCTGTGAAATGACTTGGGTAGAAGAACTGCATATCTACATTATTAATGGTGACGTGCCATTGCCTTATCTTTTTCTACCCCTTCTTTCAGCCCTTTTAAGACACAGTTTATGGAAACTACCCAAGAAGCAACCAATTTACAAACATATTTTTGTATTGCAAAAAAAAACAAAACGAAAAAAAGACCTCAAGCACCCAGTGACAAAAACATTTACATTGAAAGGATTACCATACTATACAGTCTAAAACCACTGACCTCAACACTTGCTGATGATTTTTTTTTTTTCTTAGGTTTCAATTTGTATGTGAACTTATGCCAATTTAGATTAAGAACTAATACTATATTGTAAGAAAATAACCATACGACAATGAGGTATAATGCAGTAGTGCCTTAGTGCTAGCCACTTTCTTCTGACCTAAAGTGTATGTGTCCTTTTGCACACCTTGCTGATAACCGTTTTGTTTGGCCAAACAGTTGTTTATGAAGTTATAGGCCATGAGTGAGGTATGGGGCACTTTGTCTAATAATTCCAGCATCATGACTTCCCAATGAAGGTAAAATACTGATTTGTATACAGGATGGCTTTGTTCACTGTATATAGGGGAAGGGTGCTCATGTTTATAATAGGCAAGATTTTAACACTTGTCGTCTGTACAATCAAATATATTACCCATTAGTTTGCACTATATCTGAATATTGTGTCAGATAGCCGACAAATCATTCTCTATGAAAAGGTTACAGTGTGCACAGACTGTCATCTGTGATCAATCAAACCTTTTCATATGTCCAAAGGCTTTTGCTTAAAGCAGAACTCCAGACAAATATGAAAAGCTTTAATCTGCATATGTACTCGTCCAAACTTAAGTGTATTTTTCAATATTATGCTATTATAAATATATCAAATGACTATTCTAGTAATGTCCCATAATTGCATACACACCAGAAAATAGACTGAAAGTAGGTGGCTGTTAGTAAAGTCACCCTCCTGTCTATGTAAAATGGCAAAAGTGTAAGAATCACAAGACCGGCTTAATTAGAAACAATATTGCAAGTAAACTGTTTGGCTAGAGTTCCGCTTCAGTGATTTTATGCGGGTGTGTTTAGATACAATATTCTGTTGTATCTAAACACAGAAGTTGATATATGCCTTGACTGTTTTACAGTACAAGTAGACCCTGTTATATGTATGTACTGTACACAACTGTTCTCCCACCCAATACCTGATTAGCAGTTTTTGTTACAATCTTTCCTTGAAGGGAATCAGTGGAGATATGGAAGATGCCTTTGCTTTAAAGGTGAAAGCTCAGGGTTTGTCATTCTTGTCAACATTCCAAACCTACATACTTTATTCAAGTATATGACTCACTAGGTGGTGAAGCAAGAATGAGACCACCCCAAAGCCTATACGTTTAAAAGTCACCAATAGCAGCTCTCGTGCATCTATCCCTTTCATCCTTGTTCACACCAAGCGCGTTCCAGGAGCAGAGCAGTTACAGACCGGATAAAACGGCGTCTAATGTATTACAATGGTATTTTGGGCTCTAGTTCAAAACTGCAGCAAGCCCTATTTTACCTGCTCTGGAACGCATCAAAAACACATGCAAACGCTCTAAAAGCCCATTCTAAACTTAAAAAAAAAGAATTTTTGTTTTTACCAAAAACGGCCCGGAACGCGGCACAACCCACTGCACTGCGTGTGCAGAAACTCATGCAGATCTGGTCTGCATTTGGTGTGAACAAGGCCTTAGAGGGAGGAAGGCAATACTTTGTCACAGTTGAGGCTCCCGTCCACTGATGGATGCTTTTATTGCCTTTGGGAAGCAGTGTTGGCTCTGGGGCTGCTCTCATCTGTGCAGATGTACTGCGACAATGCCTGCCCTGGAATTACCACTATTGCAGGTAGCCAAGCAGCCTGGCTGTGAGATTTAACTGTAACAGCCATTGTAACAAATTCCCTTCCACTGGTGTAAGTCATCCTAAAAAGCATTTCTTCTTTTTTGGGTCACATCTGTAGGTTCACTCTCTTCCGGTTTGTAAGGTCCCAAAAGTGCAATCTCTAGCCAGAGATTATGACTAGAATATAGAGGTCATGTTACACAATACTCAGTATAAAGCTGCACAGTATGATTTTACTTTGTAGGGGTCAGGAGTTGGTAACATCTGTGGAGAGATCATCCGGGTGGATTTTCTGAGAATAATAACAAACCAAGTGAATGAACCCTCCATTATGCTCCCAACATTTGGAAATTAAGTTATATCGACTGGCCATGCAAATTTTATGTGTTCACACATGTATGAGTGATGAGGCTTTGCTATATATGCTTGTCAGTATGTTCACCATGTCATGTTTTCATATAAGTGTTGCATTATGAAAATCTAAGAGGACTAATGTTCTATAACGTAAAGACCGCGCTAATATAAAAGCAGCTTATATTACTGCTAACAAAATCTGTTTTCTGATCCAAGATATGGGGACTTGTCATTTGTTTTTAGATCTACTTTCCTAGAATTTGCACTTTTGTTTTGGTGAGCAGTAGAAGCCAGTGCAATCATACCTTCCATCCTTTCATGTTTTTGTTCTGATTAGACTTTAGTCTTTGGCCAACCAAGAATTTAGATTTGTAAACTTTGTAGGTTTCTTTTTGCTGGAACAATATATTTTTAATCTTTGTCTGCAGAAGAAGTGGTTACAATTACAAGTTTAGGTTATCGGTTCCATGGTGGGTAAGGGTCATTTTATGTTCTTGTTGGTTGTCTATTCATTTTAGAACCTAAATTTGAATCCCAAACATTTTTTTATATGGAATTTAAAAAATGATTCTATAATATTGGGAACTACTTTCCTGAGGTGTAAGGGCTGGCTCCAAAATCTGGAGCAGCTATGATGAGAACATCTGCCTAGTAATACAAGCCTGGATTCATTCTGCATTCAGCTCCTGTGTGAACATAGCCTAAGGCCTCATTCGGACTTGTGTGTTGCAATGATGGGTATTAAAATCACATTGCACGATCTGAGCTTTTTTGCGATATGGGGGGATATGATTTCCATGTACAAAATGTTTAATGGTGGTAGCAACATTAGCGATAAACTGTTTAAAATTAACTCCGTTACAAAAACTAGAGGCCATCACCTAAAATTGGTGGAAAAAAAATTCCAGCACAAGGGGCGAAGGGGGTTCTTCACAGTAAGATCAGTTAGGGTCTGGAACTCACTGCCACAGGCGGTGATTTCAGCAAATAATGTGGAATTGTTCAAGAAACTTTTGGACGATTTCTTAAGGGACCGTAATATACAGGGGTACGGGTACTCCTAGAATGAGATCCTAATAGGTTGGACTTGATGGACTAATGTCTTTATTCAACCTCAAATACTATGTAACATTCTTTTTTGAATGCCTCCCCATTGCACCTTGCCAGCACACATCCATGCATGCACATTTTAACGCCCCACAAAGCACATATGTGAACCATCCTTTTGTGATGTGATGCACTGAAAATAGGTGCAGATGTGGGGTTTTTTGTGCATTTGAGGTTCTCCTTGAGCCCATTCAAAGTAAAAGGAACTGCCTCTATCCATGAAAATGTAGTGCGTTAATTCAAGTGTGAATTCGGCCCGAGGACTGAACTGCAAAGGTGATTTAACCTTTTGCTACTGAGTGATAAAACCTCCCAATATCTAGGAACCAAGTTGCAACACATACATTTCTCTGATTGAAGCCTTATGCTGAGTGGCTTGCCGGGGTGCGACCTTAACACAATGCTTTATTGAGCTGATTGCCCCTTCTAGGAAAGAACATGGCTGCTGCTTCTCATTATGCGAGTTATACAATATACAGAGGTTGTTCCCGGTTCTATGGAGGCTTACCCATGTCCCCATGCCTGTTGTTTTAAGCGAGATATCTGCCAGCCTTACCCTTCCTACAGCTGTGCCCATCCTTTCCCAACACCTCCACAGGCAGGCTACTGAAAGCATGTTGATGGACCATTTCAGAACTCCTGTAAATGAATATCCAGTATTAATGTCTAACAGCAAGAACTCCACCTTAAGCTAGTTTCACCTCGCTGAAGGGAATGCCGCAAGACATCGTAGCACACACAAGTCATGCTAGCCATATTTTGCTTAAAAGAAAACTGTCCATATATAAATAAGGCAGCCACCATCGCTGAATTATTTTTGTAGGTGCAACTTCACCTGTTTGGTGGTTTACTGACCTGGAACAGACTTGTGTATATGAGGTGTCAGTACAGTTCATATTCAAATGAATGTTTTGGTTCAGTGGCACTCTTGAGTAGTGAAGCAAAGATGAGTATGACCAATGCCGCAATTTCAAAAACCTGTCCACATTGAGAATAATTTAGCATTCTGACTTCTCTATGATAAAACTCAGAGAGCACCTTTTTTAAAAAAATTATTTTACAAAATCTTAATATATTTGAGTCTTCGTGAGAAACCAATTTGTCCTGCACATGTAATACACTGTCCTCCTTAGCTTTCTTTTATTCAGCTTTGTGACCAGTAAAACAATGTATCCTTCCTTTATGGATGGATAATGAAAGCAGAGTAACCCACCAGTTTCTCATGCCACTTGGATAGAGATGGTGAGCTCTCTGCACTTGACGTCGCACATCTGCCCATCTTCTGCAAGGGAGTCTCACTCGCAATGTCAGATTTTCATCCTTTTTTTCATTGGACACAAGGCAGCAGGCAGAGTATGATGTCATTACAAGGGTTCTTGGGCAGATCATCCTGGCTAAGAAAATATGTAGGCTAGTGTTGACCTTTTTCAAATGCTAGTTGCCTGGCTCTCTGGCTTTAACACATTGGGACTCTGACCTAAAACCAGTAGTCAGATCAGCACAGTCAGAGTGATGTCATAACTCCTAATCTGCATACCTATTCTGAGTTAGTGGTTTAGAAAGTACGGAGATTGGCTGATTAGTTCATGAGTCACACCCAAAATGAAAATTCTTGTATCATCTGGACTGATCCTTCAATATAGTATTGTAATGGATTGTGTCGAGTAATCTGGCAACACATTGTTACTGCATGTGCATTTAGGCGCATTTCTCTGCCCATTAATGCGCATTGCATTCAAATCAATAGGCTAGTAATGCATCAAAATGGCCCCCAAAAAATGGCATGCACCATTTTTAGCAATGCTGCACGT